TATAAAGAACTCATACAACTAAATAACAAAAATATCAAATTTAAAATGGGCAAGAGATTTGAACAGACATTTTTCCAAAGAAGATATGCAGATGGCCAACGGGCACACCAGTGAAGTGCAAATCAAAACCACAATGAGATATCACGTTACACCTGTCAGAATGGCTATTATCAAAAAGACAAGAAATAACAGGTATTGGTGAAGATGTGGGGAAAAGGGAACCCTTGTGCACTATTGGTGAAAATGTAAACTGGTTCAGTCACTATGGAAAATAATAGAGAATTTCCTCAAAAAATAAAAAATAGAATAATCATGCAATTCAGCAATTCCATTTCTGGGTGTCTATCCAAAGAAAATGAAAACACTAATTCAAAAAGATATATGTACCCCCTGTTCATTGCAACATTATTTACAATAGCCAAGATATGGAAACAACTTAAGTTGATAGATGAATAAAGATGTGTATACCCACACAATGGAATATTACTCCACCATAAAAAAAGAATAAAATCTTGTCATTTGTGACATCATGAATGGACTTTAAGGGCATTATGCTAGATGAAATAAATGAGAGAGAGAGAGAGAGATCACATTTTTTTTTAAATAGAATTTTTATGTTTATTTTTGAGAGAGAGAGACAGAATCTGAAGAAGGCTCCAGGCTCTAAGTTGTCAGCACAGAGCCCAATGTGGGGCTTAAACCCATGAACCACGAGATCACAACCTGAGCTGAAATCGGATGCTCAGACTGAGCCACCCAGGCACCCCCAACAAATACCACATTATTTGACTTTCATTGTGGTGCGTATTTTGCAATGTATATAGATGTTGAATTACTATGTTGTACCCCTGATACAATTCTGTATCAATTATACCTCAATAGATAAAAAGAAATAAATTTATAATAAAGGTAAAGATCCAGAGAAAATAGTATTGCCAGAAAAGTCAAGCTAGTAGAGATGCTAGAGTTTGCACTCAGTTCTCAGGAAAAAACAGAAGTTTTAACCATCATAACAACATTTTCTATTTACTAAGGACCAATTATGTGCCAGACACTGTATGAGCTATATTATGTATATTTTTTCTAATCCTCACAACTGTCCTTTGAAGAAACTGAGGCAGAAGGAAGTCCAGAAACTTTCCCAAATTTCTACAGCTAGAAAGTGAGTTAATTCAGGTTGATCCCCAAGTCCACTATCTTTCTATGATACTACAAATCAAGGAAATAATTATCACCACCTCCTCAATTTTACCAGAGTTATTAATAGAGCACACTAATCCCTGAAAGACTCTAATATCACTTGGAAATTTCCAAGAGGTTCAAAAATTTTAAAAAAGGAGTTGTTTTTCTGGAATAATTAGGAAACGTTGGGTATTCAGAGAGAAAAGGGAAAATGCCCAATGGCAGTGTTCAGTATTCTGTCCAACTCAATAACACTAACCATAAAATAAAATGAACTTGGATATTTCAATGTTGTTTTCTCTTTGGAGCAACTGACTTCTACTTAATAGGACAGGAGAACAGACCACTGAGCATACTGCTGCATGATGGTTCATCCTAATAAGGCTTTTTGGCTGAGCTTCTGTAGTTTCTGTCTGCTTGAAAGATCCCCTGGCCCATTTCCTAATTGCAGGGGCTGCTCCCAGAATGAACACTAGATAACCAATGCTAGTTAAAGAGCACTTAGGGCCATGCTGGCCAGAACACCCACATGGCTTCCAGGCAGCTACGATGGATGCCAATGATTAATTAATTGATGCCAATGAGGGTTGTAAGCTTGAGAGGAGGGCACAAAGACAGGAAACAGACACAGCACAGCCACAGATGTCACAGCCCCCAGCATTCTAGCTGCTGTGTGGAACAGGGATGAGAACTTGGTTTGGAGTCACAAGCCCAGGTCTGGGCCCGTGGGAAATTGGGTCTTGCTAATTTCTGAGACTAATCCCTCATCTGTAAATAAAAGAATAATTCCTGAAGTACTCATTGCAGAGGCCTTTGTGAGGCTCAAGTGAATTATTTGTATGTAAAAACTCCATAAATACTACCATTAGGTTAAATGCTCCCACCTTGAGTATTCCCATAGCAACCTGTGCTTCTCTAACAAGCGTTCATCATATTTTACAGTTATTACTTCTTTGTCTTTCTCTTCTAGGTTTCACATACCATAAGGATAGAAACTATATTAATATAGCTCTCCACTGTTTCCTAGTATCTGCCATAGTTCTGGGCACTATGGCTGGCATTCAATAAATTATTTGTGAGATAAATGGATAAATGATGAATGTGGCCCCCTAATGTGTTCATTTGTTTTGTGAAAATTTCATTCCATGGTAAACAAATCCCACTTCGTCATCATTGTACTAACTTATGTCAGGTAATGGCAGTTTTGTTTCACTTTATAACTGTTGTTTCAGACACAGCATGGTCCTCAAGAAGTGCATAGTCCAAAGAGAATAAGATTCATAAAAATAAAAAATTAAGTAACAACAAACACAGCAAATGATATTTCTAACAAGTTCTCCTTTTTTAATTTCAACTTTTTCAAAGAATTAACATCTGGGGTAATTCTCAACATCCTAAAACTGTAAGTTTCTATATTTATAGACGATGGTGGCTGTAGACCAGATGAGCTATTTTAAATATAACTCCAATTGTGTAGGAATCTCAGACTTTTCCTTCTGGAAGAGTGAGTGTTTCCTGAAAGCACTAAGAACCACAAGTAGATATTGTGTGCGTGAAAGTATGGAGGAAAAGGCAGAGACAGTCAGAGGATGCATCTGTAGATCCCAGGAAAACATCTTGTGTAAATAAAGATCTAGACTCAAAACGTAAAGGTAGGCTCTATTGTTTATAAAGATATGCATACAGTGAGAAGAAATTGGAAAGCATAGGTTCAATGCCCCAATATTTTTTAGTATCTTGAAATTACAAATGTTCTCTAATCTGCAAATATAATGTAATAATTTGAGGAAGCCACAAGGGTTTTTTTCTAAGAGTTACTTTTCCTCTGCAATAAATCTACAGGGAAGACCTAAGGCCAGAGTATCACCTGACACAGGAAAGCTTGGGGACACTTCTGGCAAGAAAGGATTGGTGAAGTCTTTATCACTATTGGGAATGATAAGCAAGGGAAGATGAAATGGTGAAAACAACAAAGTGGGAGTTCTACTAATAAAGGCTTCCTGACCTAATAGTAGGAAGTGAGCAACTAGGGAACCCTGTCATAATGAAGTTTGAAAAGACAAATGGTACAGTCCCTTAATCATTTCCAATGCCTCCTTTAAAGAAAACAAGCAGGGGTGTCTGGGTGGCTCAGTAGGTTAAACAGCCAACTTTGGCTCAGGTCATAGTCTCACAGTTTGTGGGTTTGAGCCCCACGCAGGGCTCTGTGCTGACAGCTTGGAGTCTAGGGCCTGCTTCGGATTCTGTGTCTCCCTCTCTCTCTGCCCCTCCTCTACTCACACTCTATCTCTATCTCAAAAACAAATTAACATAAAAAATGTTTTTTTAAATATTTTTATTTATTTCTAGGAGAGAGAGAGACAGCATGAGCAGGGGAGGGTCAGAGAGAGGGAGATACAGACTCCGAAATACAGTCAGCACAGAGCCCGACGCAGGGCTCGAACCCACGAACCACGAGATCATGACCTAAGCAAAAGTCGGACGCTTAACCGACTAAGCCACCCAGGCGCCCCTAACATAAAAAATGTTTTTAAAGAAAGAAATCAGACAAGCAAATTGTAATAAGTAAAAGTCCTCCTGTGTTCATTATCCAACAAATAATTCTGAAATTGGAGCTTGGTATTACTTAACTGCTAAAAGTTCATTGAAGCCTTTAACTGGAATTAGTACTTATGGTAGACACCTTGAGGAGTGAGTATAAGAGACACTGAGAGTTGTCCTCCAATATTTATTCTCCCCTTTGTCCACAGTTGAGCACAAGACCATGAAAAATAAAACTATATTTACTAGCCTCCCCTGTAACTAGGTAGGCACATGTAACTAAGTTCTACCAATGGGGTATAAACAGAGAGTCACCTTAGCAGCTTCCAGGAACCTTCCTTAACAGAAAGCTGATGCATTTTGGTAGGCCCCATATCTTTCTCCCTTGCCTTTCCTCCTGCTGAAACAAAGATGCTGCTATCTGGAGGTTGAAGACCACAGTCTAGGATAATAGGGCAGTTAGCTGGAAGGAGTTACCAGTCCTAAACACTTTTATACCAAGAGACACTACTCCAGCCCTGGAATGCCCATGCATCATTTACATGAGAAACAACACACTTCTATCTTGAAGAAACCACTGTAATTTGGAGGTCTTCTGTTATTGCTGAACCTAAAACTCACTGGTATAAAGAAGGTTTGTATTCAGGTAAATAAGAAGCAGTCCTCAACTTTAAGAAGTTTCATAAACTTGAGAAAGCTAGCAGTTGTATACACATAACTATAAAGCATAAAAATATGAGGGTCATAAGATCAAAATAGTATCACTGACAATAGGAACAATAAAAGGAAAATAAATCATTTATGTTAGAAGAGAATGAGGGAAGGAATCATGGCTCAGGTGACATTTCAGTTGGGCCCTGAAAAAAATAATAGATAATTTGAGAGATGAAAATGCAGAAAACAAGCAGAATAAGAAGCATTACAAAGGCATGGAAGCAGAAAAGCATGAACTGTGCTCAGCTAAGTGTAGGTTATTCAGTTTAATGAGAACACAGGTGATCCTTACTGATCGCCCAATTGACCTATTTCCTTCTCTGGCTGCTCATGACCTTTGTTATTATCTGATGCTCTATTATACTGATTCTATGTTATCTGCTTATTTTCTAGAATAACTAGAATTGCAGTTGTCAAACATTTTGGTCTCAGACCCCTCTACATAAAAGGGCCTCAAAGAGCTTTAGTTTACATAGGATACATCTATAAATACCTACTGTATTAAAACTGATAGAAAGTTTCCATTACGCAAGATGAATAACTTCTAGAGATCTATTTTCTATCTATTACGCAATTCCTCCCAGTACGAAAGGACAAGAGAAATGGGGCCCACTTCACTAAAGCGCTGTGCAACATAAAGCCTATAGTTAAGAACACTATAATGTGCGCTTAAAACTTTTGTAAAGAGAATAGATTTTGGGGCATTTGAGTGGCCCAAACAATTAAGCTTCCAACTCTTGATTTCAGCTCAGGTCATGATCTCAGAGTCGAGACTGAGCCCTGTGTTGAGCTCCACAGCACGGAGGCCGCTTAAAATTCTCTCTCTCCCTCGGGGCGCCCGGGTGGCTTAGTGGGTTAAGCGTCCAACTTTCGCTTAGGTCATGATCTTGCGGTTCGTGGGTTCGAGCCTCGCGTCGGGCTCTGTGCTGACTGCCAGCTCAGAGCCTGGAGCCTGTTTCAGTCTGTGACTCCCTCTCTCTCTGACCCTCCCCTGCTGACGCTGTCTCTCTCTCCGTCTCCTAGAATTAAATAAAACATTAAAAAAACAAAGATTCTCTCTCTCCCTCACCCTCTATCCCTCCTCGACTTGTGCTTTCTTGTTCTCTCTTGAAATAAAAACAAAAAAGAATATATTTCATGTGAAGTGTTCTTAACCACAAAAATAGGGACAGAGGACATGCAGAAACTTTTGAAGGTGATAAATATGTTTATTACCCTGATTGTGGTCATAGTTTTATGAATATACACATATATCAAAATTCATCAAATTATATACACTAAACATGCAATCTTTTATATATCAATTATATCTCAGTAAAGCTGTTTTTGAAAATAACAATTTAAATTGATAAATTTTAAAATATTGTTCATTTTAACCTCGGAATAAACCTAACCAAGGATACAAGAGATCTGTATGATGAAAACTATAGAAAACTTATGAAGGAAATTGAAGAAGACACAAAGAAATGGAAAAACATTCCATGCTCATGGATAGGAAGAATAAATATAGTTAAGATGTCATTACTACCTAAAGCACTCTACACATTCAATGCAATTCCAATCAAAATTGCACCAGCATACTTCTCAAGCTAGAACAAACTATCCAAAAATTTGTATGGAACCACAAAAGACCCCGAATAGCCAAAGTAATACTGAAAAATAAAACCAAAACGGGAGGTATCACCATCCCAGGCTTTAACCTCTACTACAAAGCTGTCGTCATCAAGACAGTATGGTATTGGCACAAAAACAGACACATAGACCAATGGAACAGAATTGAGAACTCAGAAGTGGACCCAAAAGTATACAGCCAACTGATCTTTGACAAAGCAGGAAAGAATATCCAATGGAAAACAGACAGCCTTTTTAACAGATGGTGTTGGGAGAACTGGACAGCAACATGCAGAAGAATGAAACTAGATCATTTTCTCACACCATGCACAAAAATCAACTCAAAATGGATAAAGGACCTGAACGTGAGACAGGAAACTATCAACACCCTAGAGGAGAAAGCAGGAAACAACCTCCTTGACCTCCACCGCAGCAACTTCTTACTTGACACATCCCCAAAAGCAAGGGAATCGAGAGCAAAAATAAACTGTTGGGACCTCATCAAGATTAAAAGCTTCTGCACAGCCAAGGAAACAACCCAGAAAATTAATAGGCAAACAACGGAATGGGAAAAGATAGTTGCAAATGGCATATCAGATAAAGGGTTAATATCCAGAATCTATAAGGAACTCAGCAAACTGCACGCCCGAAAAACAAACAACCCAGTGAAGAAATGGGCAGAAGACATGAACAGACACTTCTCCAAAGAGGACATCCAGATGGCCAACAGACACATGAAACGATGCTCAGCATCCCTCCTCATCAGGGAAATACAAATCAAAACCACACTGAGATACCACCTCACGCCAGTCAGAGTGGCTAAAATGAGCAAATCAGAGAACTCTAGATGCTGGCGAGGATGTGGAGAAACGGGCACCCTCCTACACTGTTGGTGGGAATGTAAACTGGTACAGCCCCTCTGGAAAACAGTGTGGAGGTTCCTCAGGAAACTAACAATAGAACTCCCCTATGACCCAGCAATAGCACTGCTAGGAATTTACCCAAGGGATACAGAAATGCTGAGGCATAGGAGCACATGGACCCCAATGTTCATAGCAGCACTCTCCACAATAGCTAAAACATGGAAAGAGCCTAAGTGTCCATCAACGGACGAATGGATCAAGAAGATGTGGTTTATCTATACCATGGAATACTACATGGCAATGAGAAACAATGAAATCTGGCCATGTGTAGCAACATGGATGGACCTTGAGGGTGTTATGCTGAGCGAAATAAGTCAGGCAGAGACGGACAAATATCATATGTTTGCACGTATGGGAGGATTAGGAGGAACTTGATGGAGGAACAAGGGGGAGAAGAAGGGCGGAATGGTGGGGGAAAAGGAGAGAGGCAAACCATGAGAGACTCTTGAATGCTGACAAAAACTGAGGACTGATGGATGTTGGGGGGAGGGGGGATGGGCATGGAGGAGGGCACTTTGGGGATGAGCACTGAGTGTTATGCGGAAACTAATTTTACAATAAACTATTTGTAAAAAAAAAAATATTGTTCATTTTAAAATAGCAAAAATAAACCCATTAATGTTAATGTAAGAAATATTTTTATGGGGAAAACTCTTTCAAGCAAAGTTACTTAAAAAGTAGCACTGCTTTATGTTTTTGCAATCCTCCTTAATTTCTGGCCCATAAAAGACAGCTAGATTCCCACATCTGTATCCACATCCACATTCAATCTGCTATGATATCACATATCAGGTAGCCCTGGAAAACTTTCCTGTATACACATTTAAAAATGAAAATGACAAATAATATTTAAGTATTATAACGAAAGTAATTTTCACTTTGAAGACACCCTGAGTGTGCCTCAGAGCTCCTTTGGGTCCTCTATTACACTTTCAGAACCACTGAACTAGAACATAAACTCAGTGAGGGAAGAAATTGTGTTTAGTTCACTGTTATATTCCCAGCACCTAGACTTGGCTTATGGTAGACACTAAATGCCACTTGTCAAATAAACGTGTGAACGTGAGGCCATATTGTGAAGGACATTGAGTACCAAGCTAATGAGTCTGGAAATGACTTAGTAGACAATGGAGAACAAGTAAAGATATCTGAGCAGAAGAATGTAACAATTTCATTAATCTGATCACACCAAAAAGGATGAGTTGGAGAGAAGAGCAACTTGGAAACAGAAGTGCCAAGCAAGATGCTCTTGATCTAGTTTCAGTGAAAAGTAGTGAGGTTCTGAAGTAGGATGGAGAAGATACAAACAGAAAGAGGAGGGCAGAAGTGAGAAATCACTGGATTCAGTGTTTAGCCCTCAACTGGAAACCCATGAATCTAACCAAACTTGTCTGTGTGACATTCGGCACATCAATCAGCTCCTTGTTCAATTACAGTTTCCTCAACAGTAAAATAAAATATTGTATTAAATATGGATTATCACTTTCTTTTCAACTGTTCAATTTGCCAATGATAGAGCTGTATCACCAAAATATTATTTTTAGATGTCACAAAGTCTTATTTCCTTATCGCTAATTATTCTTGTACTTACTGATGCTAAGACTAGTCATTAACAAGACTCTTTAAAAGTAAGATTAGAGAATCAATATTAGACTTCAAGTTAGTTCGTAGAGGAGGACACTTGTGGGGATGAGCACTGGGTGTTGTATGGAAACCAACTTGACAATAAACTACTAAAAAAAAATAAACTTCAAGTTAGTTAAAGTGTTTGCTTGGGGAAAAAATTATTTACTAAGGATATCTTTTAATTTATTCAAATGTGAAGCAAATCCTATGATGTAGTTGGTTTTTCCCCACATTTTTCCAATTGGGAGATATTAAGAAATATACCCAAGGTCACACATCTCAAAGTAACAGAGTCAGGATCAACAGATATGTCAACCTACCTCAAAGAAATTGAAATGCTGTTCATACTGAGATGTTGTTCAAATGTTGTTATCAATTTGAAAGTCTGGACTAATGAGAAGGAAAATATGGCACATGTGGAATCACACTAATTGTCAGTCACCTTAGTTAATCTAGAAATATAACAGAAAATAAGATTCTCTAAGATTAACATGGCAGGAAAAATGACTATATCCAGATAATTAAGATGTATTAAAAAGTGGCCAAAGATGGAGAGTGTAAAGAGCTCGGAAAATGTTGAAGGAAAAGAGATTAAAAAAAAAAAAAAAAAAAAGATTGTCATCTCATCTGATTTTCAAACCTGAGCACACCACTGAGAAAGAAACAGGCTCTGTTCTTCANAAAAAAAAAAAAAAAAAAAAGATTGTCATCTCATCTGATTTTCAAACCTGAGCACACCACTGAGAAAGAAACAGGCTCTGTTCTTCATCATTTCTTTGTTCATTTTTGGCTGAAGCAAATTAAGATCATCTACCAGGGGAATAAATGGGATGTGCTCTAAGGTATTTACCAAATCAGCAGTGGCACAAGTAGTTCTGCTAATGAAAATTATTCCAACTGTCTGACTCAGACATCAGCTCAGATTTCAACTCCCTAAGGCCATTTGGTTGAACGGATTTCATAATGATTTTCAAGAGAGCATTTAAAGTTTGTATTTCATCTCAAGGAAAGAGAGGATGTATTTGTTCTCAGCTTCAAATCAAAAATGTGCTTGACTTTGTAAAGATTGCATAGCAAGAACACTCACTTATAGTCTTAAAAATTATCCCTCATTGCCTCCCTCTTTTCCTATTTCCCAGTAATTTTTGAAGACCAATTGGCAACATTTCCTTCCTACTTCTGTAGAAGCATATTCTGAAATTATATTCAGAGCTTATTATTCTTTTGCAGTATGCTGAGATTCATTAGTAAGCCCATGGTTATAATTCAAAGTTTACTCAGTAAACTGTTTGAAAACCTACTATGGGCCAGGCAGTGTGCTGGGTACTGTCTAATGGGGAGATAGATAAGTAGATAAGTATTTTATTGGTGTGTTCATATTACCAACAAGATAAGCAGCTACTAAGTTCCAGGTGTTCATGTTAGACACTGGGGATATAAAAATAAAAATCCACTCTTCACCAAAAATGTAACACTATCCAGGTAAAGCAAAGATAAATTCAAAAGAAAAAAAAAGTAAAAATCAGGAGGAAATGGGCGTTTGGAAATGAGTTGTGTGAAAATGAGATGACTCTGTCCAAGATAAACCTATTCCTTTGGAGATGGGGTGAAGGAACATGAAAGACAGCAGTCAGGAAGGCAGAAAAATGGGCAAGAAAGGGCACCTGGGTAGTTCAGTTGGTTAAGCATCCAACTTTGGCTCAAGTCATGATCTCACCATTCCTGAGTTCAAACCCTTTGTCAGGATCTGTGCTGATAGCTTGAAGCCTGGAGTAGATCCTGTGTCTCCCCTCTCTAAGCCCCTCCCCTGTTTGTGCTCTCTCTCTCTCTCAAATAAATAAATAAATAACAAAGAAATACATACATAAAACTGGGCAGGAGAGAAAAGCAGTGTCCAGGAAGCTCTGCCTGGTGAATTAGCAGCTAGATGACGTCCCTGTCTGGCTAAGGAAACAGGCCAACCAAGGTCACTATGTTCTCCTTCGAGATTTTTTCCATGAGTCGCATTAATGCCACATGATTAGCAGATTGTTTACATGACAATTGAGCCTGGGTATTGAGGGTTGGGGGATGGAGGGGAATAGTGGTTAGCAGCTGAGTATAAAATTATCCTAACATAATTATTCTGGTGAGAAATACCAATTGGTTTTTGGACACATCATTTTACCCACTTACTTTTATTCCAACTCAGCACCACTCTTTCTGTTTACTAAGCTTTGGGTTTATATTGACTTCCAATTATTTCACTTGAGTAACACACTTAATTAGTATAAGCATGAGTCCTTTATTCTCTCTGAAACACTGCCAAGTTCAGCTATTCCCTCAGCAAGGGGAAATTTAATTAACATTTTGTGAATTTCTAGAACTGTTTCAATTTGCCCTTCTCTGGGGTTTCTACCTGCTCAGAGAAAGGGGGAAATGTTGACAAATAAAGAATACAGTAGATGAGGCATAAAAGTTAACATGGAACTAACCCAGTTCTCAGGATGATTCAGAAAATGTAGACTGTTTTTGGAAATTAATGTGCCAGGTTATATATGAAGTATTAATCCATAAATAGGGGAAGGGGAGCTGTGGGATAGCCCTGTAATTCCTTTGTTTACTCTGTAGTTTAAACTAATCCTGGCCTCTGCTGCCCAAGAAAACTAGACCACAGTTGAAATGCAAATAGGAACAAAAGAAGTTAAAAAAAAAAAAAAAACCCTTAAAAGCCTTTCAGCTTATGGGGCTGAGGTCTTGCCATAAGCAAAAGATCTGGAAGAGCATTTAACCAGGCATCTCTTTCATCCCTCCCCCATTCCCCAATGGGGAGAGCAAATAAAACTTGGTGGATTGGAAGAGGTGGCAAGAGAAGAAAGAAAAGAGAGAGAAAGAGAAAGAGAGAGAGAGAGAGAGAGAGAGAATGAAAGAGAGAAAGAAAGAAAGGGAGGAAGGAAAGAAGGAAGAAGAGAAAGAAATAAAAATGATAGGAGATGGGTGGTTCAGTCTGTTAAGTGTCCAACTTTAGCTCAGGTCATGATCTCTTGGTCTGTGAGTTCAAGCCCTGCTTCAGGCCCTGTGCTGACAGCTCAGAGCCTGAAGCCTGCTTTGGATTCTGTGCCTCCTCTCTCTCTGCTCCTTGTGCTCTGCTCTTCTCTCTCTCTCTCTCTCTCTCTCTATCTCTCTCTCTCTCTCTCAAAAATAAACAAACATTTTAAAAGATTTTTTTTAAGAAATTATATGAGAGTCCTATTCGTTGCTCACTTCATCCAGAACTTGTAGGATAAAAAGAGAAGTAAGTGGTTTTCCCTCTAAGCCTAAGGATCTGAGACAGATCTCAATGAGAAACCCTCTGCCCTGCAGGCTGGTAGCCACAGAGGGAAATGGCAGACTGGAAAGAGCCCTGAGGTTCCTCTCAGTCCCCGAGTAACACAACAGAGTGTCTAAAATTCCATGCCCCAGACTTCAAGAGACACACAGAAATCAGCAGGCAGAGAGAACTAGAGTCCCGAGGGTCCTGCAGTATAGCTGCAGAATTCTGAGATAGTCTCAAGATTTTCATCCCTTGTATCTTCCTTGTATACTCCCCTCTCCTTAGGTATGGGTAGCATGTGTGAATATGATGAGATTTTACAACTATGATGAGGTGATCTTACATGGCAGGGTGAAGGGAATTTGAGGATGTAATTAAGGTGCCTAGTCAGCTGACTTTGAGTTAATCAAAAGGAGATTATCTTGTGTGGGCTGACCTAACTAGGTGAGCCCTTTAAAAAGCCTTCTTTGGGGGCGCCTGGGTGGCTTAGTCGGTTAAGCGTCCGACTTTCGCTTAGGTCATGATCTCGCGGTTCGTGGGTTCGAGCATCGCGTCGGGCTCTGTGCTGACTGCCAGCTCAGAGCCTGGAGCCTGTTTCAGTCTGTGACTCCCTCTCTCTCTGACCCTCCCCCACTCATGCTGTCTCTCTCCCTCTCTTCTAGAAATAAATAAAACATTAAAAATTAAAAAAAAAAAAAGCCTTCATTGAAGGGAGAGATTGGAAATGAAAGAGAATCTTCTCTTGGCCTTGAATGAGCAAACAGCCATGCTGCCTTTTGAGAGGACCACGTGGCCAGGACCTGAGGACCAGTCTCCAAAACTGAGAGTGGGCCCTGGCTGTCAGCTAGCAAGAAAACGAAGAGCTCGGTCATATACCACAAGGAAATGAATTCTGCCAACAGCCTGAGTAAGCTTAGCGGTAGATGCCTCCCTAGAACCTCCAGGTGACAATACAACCTGGCTGACCCCTTGATTTCAGTCTTGTCAGATGTTAGGGCAGTGGGCCCAGCTAAACTGTGCCCAGACTTCTGACCTGTAGATATTGTGAGAGAACACGTGACTGTTGTCTTATACCACCAGGTCTGTGGTCATTTGTGACACAACCAATAGAAAACTAATTCATGCAGCCAGAAATGATAGGATGCAGGAATGGACCTGAGGCTAAGGACTGGATGGGAAATGGGTAACAACTCTGTGGATGCTGGTATGGAGGGAGACACTGAGGGCTCAGCAAGACAAAAACTTTCTCAAGAGACAGCAGCAGAGAACCCATTTAACTGAGACACAATCTCTCACCTATTTGGAAAGGCATTTGCACCTCTCCCCAAGCCAAGCTTAGCAGCAGCATTAAAAGCAAACAAAAACAAAAACAAAAAACTATGGAGGGAGGTGTTACAAATCCTAAATTTGACAGAGTTTAAACCTGAAGTGTATAAGAAAAATGTCAGAAATACCTTCATTTATTACCAAATGGTTGGATTATGATTTCTGCCTCAGACAGGGGTGCCGGGGTGGCTCAGTCAGTTAAGCATCTATCTGA